AATTACGAATCATCTAATTAATAGTCCATGTTAATGAAATGGATATTTTATCATCCATTGTCTGTATGCATTATGTTTGGATAATGTTGAATATAATATTTTAAGTTTTCATAGTTTATAATACCTCATTTCTTTCGAGTTAATTGCCTGACATTGAAATCTTGACTAAAAATAATTTTGTGAGATGGAAATGAGACGTAGAAATAATATATGGTCTTTTGGGCTTAAATTCTGCAATGGAGAAAAAACTTAAGAAACCCACAAATAAGAGCACTATTGAATATGTATAGCAGAGTATGAAAAGTGGGAAAGGGCCAACAAACTCTGTTTGAAAATTATGAAGTGCTTTATATCCGATTTCATTAAGGGTGCTATCTCAGTTAATGAAATGCCATATATTTTATGTATGCCATTGGAGAGAAATTTGTTGAGTCTGATAAAACTGAAACTGGAGATCTGATGGACAAATTAATAAATATGAGATATGATGGTACAAGTGGTGTTAGCTAACACATTATGAAAATGAAAAATATATCATCCAAATTAAAGGCTCTTGACATTCCTATCGCAAAACCTTTTGTAGTCTATCGTGTTTAGCTTTTCTAGTTAGTTCAATCAACTTAAGGTCGCATACAATACTCAATGGGATAAATGGGATTTGAATGACCTTATTTGCAGTATGTGCCCAAGAGAAGTATAGGATGTGACGTGAGACTGTTGAAACTGTGCAATTAGCTTTTCAGCCATCATAGAACAATGGGCCTTCTTATAATCATAAGTCCAAGTTTCATAAGGGTAATAAGTTACGCCGAAATCAGCAGAATAAAAATTTTAATGGTCCTAAAGGAATTATAAAGAAAAATGATCAATGCAAGTTCTGCTAAAAAGAAGGGTCACTGGCAGAAAAGATTGTTTTAAGTTTAAAACCTCGTTTGGCCCCATATTCTCTTTAATTTTTTTCTCTCTATGGTTATTTTCAACCATACAATCTCCTATAAAATAAGATTACACGTAAATCTAAAAAATTTCATTCTTTTTCAACCACATATTTAAAAAAAATACTATTTCAAACATTAAAATCTGGATAAAATGGGAGCCTAACGGGGACTAAGATTTGGTTGGAAAAGAAGAAGAGTTTTGTAGGGATTCACAATCTAACAGAGACCAAGTAAGAATGAAGTGAGCATGTGCGTTGGAAATGGAGTTCAAGTTGAATTCATAGGAGTAGTGAAGTTGTCTTTGGAGTCCGATTTTTCTCTTGTTTTAGAAAATACGATTTTTGTACCGCAAATGAGACAAAATTTAATTTCTATATTGAAACTTGATGTTTGTGATTTTTCCTTTAATGGAATTGTTGAGTTGTTTTATGATTATTGTTTGATTGAGAATAACCTTTTATTTGATGGTTTATATGAATTGTCTTCCTCTCCTTTTGGTGAAGCCTCGTGTATTACCAATATATCAAAGAAAATGGCTCTAATTCGTGAATTGACATCTATGTTGTGGCATAAACGATTAGGTCACATATTAAAGGATAAAATGGAAAGACTGGTAAAAGTTAAGATACTTCCTCCTCTAGAATTATTTGATTTTGACACCCGTATGGATTGTATAAGAGGAAAGCTAACTAAGTCTATAAGGAAAGTTACTACTAGGAGCGGTGGTATTTTAGACTTGATATATACTGATGTCAGTGGACCTTTGCCTTCCATATATGTGGGAACAAATACTTCATAACCTTTATTGATGATTTCTCACAATATAGATATGTTTACCTAATTAATGATAAATTTCATGCACTTGAGAAATTCAAAATTTTCAAAATGAAAATAGAGAAACAGTGTGGAAAAAGTATCAAAGTTGTAAGATATAACTGTGGTGGTGAGTACTATGGCAAGTATGACGAGTCTGGTCAAAACATGAGTGATTTTGCAGTGTTTTTACAAGAGTGGAATGGCGTCTCAATACACCATGATAGGGATACCTGAGCAGAATAACGTTTCTAAATGACGTAATCGAACTCTGAAAGATATAGTCAGGAATATATTGAGTAGAACAAATTTTCCAGAATATCTATGGGGTGAAGTCTTGAAAACTGTTATGTATATTTTGAACAGAATTCTAAGTAAAGTTGATGCAAAAACACCTTTTGAATTATGAATCAGATGTAAGTCAAGTTTTGCTCATTTCAAAGTTTCGGGATGTCCAGCCGAGGTTAGGATTTATCCAGCTGAGGTTAGGATTTATAATCTTTTTTGAAAAGAAATTAGACCTAAAATTCACTCTTGGTTACTTTATTAGGTGTCCAGACAGATCAAAAGGAAATAAGTTTTACTGTCCAAATCGTGACACTAGAATTGTCGAGTCCTTTATTGCTAAATTTTTGGAGAATGATTTTGGTGATAGTGGGAGTTCTATATTGAATGAACTTTTTGTTAAATAAAATTAAGTTATTGTTTAGCTTCTGTTATACAGAAAAAAGTTGGTTTTCAACCAGTTGAAATTGTTCATGAAAAACCAAGGAACGAAGAGGAACTTCCAATTCCTCCTCCAACAACGATTGGGTCAGTTTTCGAGCCACAAGTTAGGAGATCGCATAGGAAAAGAAGGCATGCATTATCCAGTTATTACATTACCTATTTATTGGAGAGTAATTTTAATATTGAGCCTATTGTTGATCCTATTGCTTATAGTCAAGCATTGGCAAGTTCTGAGTTAGAAAAATAGATAAATGTTATGAAAGATGAAATGCTTTCTATGGAATAGAATAAAGTTTGTGAATATGTCGAATTTCCTCAAGATGCTAAAGCTATAGATAACAAATAGATCTTCAAAAGTAAAATTGAATTCGAAAGGAAATGTTGAACAAAAGAAGGCAAGATTGATTGTAAAAGGGTTCACTCAATGAAAGGACATTAATTATTTGAAACCTTCTCGCCTATTCGTTGAAATATTCTTTTCGAATTATCATGGAACTTGTAACACACTATAATTTAGAGTTTCATCAGATGGATGTTAAGACACATTTTTTAATGAAGATCTCCCTAAAAATGTTTACATGAGACAACATGAAAATTATATTGTGAAGGAAAAAGAAAACTTGGCATGTAAGTTAAACAAATCCTCATATGACCTCAAGTAAGCATTTTGACAATGGTATTTGAAGTTTGACGAGGTTGTAATCTCTCTTGGTTTTCTCAAAAATACAATTGATCAATGCATTTATCTCAAAACCAGCGGGTGAAATTTTATTTTTCTTGTCTTGTATGTTGATTATATTTTACTTGTTAGTATTAACTTGGGGTTACTTCATGAGACAAAGAGAACGTTTCTGCTAATTTTGAGATGAAAGATCTTGGATAAACTTCCTATGTGATTGGTATTGGAATACACCGTGACAGAATCGTGGCTTGTTGGGACATTTTTAGAAAGCTTATATATGATGCGTACTAGAAATGTTCAATATGCAGAATTGAGCACCTAGTGATATGCCTATCATAAAAGATGATAAGTTTAACAATGTTCAATATCCAAGGAATGAGTTAAAAAGGAAAAATATGAAAATGATACCATATGCTAATGTTATGGGGAGCTTGATGTATGCTCAATTTTGCACAAAATCGAATATTGCCTCTGTAGTCAGTGTTCTTAGTAGGTTTCGGTCAAATCCAAGATAAAAGCATTGGAAAGCAGTTAAGAAAGTTATGAGAAACTTGAAAAAAACTGAAAGTTATACGAATACATTCCAGCATTCAAATCACCTTGAGGTAGTAGGCTATTCAGATTTTGATTTTGCTAGATGTCAAGATAATTTGAAATCAATATCAAGTTATATTTTCATGTTAGCTGGTAGTGCTATCTCTTGTAAAAGTGTTAAACAGACTCTAGTGACATCTTCTACTATACAAGCTGAATTTGTGGCATATTATGGAGTTACAGTCTAAATCGTTTGGTTAAGAAATTTTATTTCTGGATTGAAAGTTGTTGATTCCATCTCGAGACCTATCACCATTTATTGTGATAATAGTGCAACATTGTTCTTTTCAAGGAATAATAAAAGTTTTGGTGGGTCAAAATATATTGACATCAAATATTTGGCGATTAGAGACAGAGTCAAGGAAGGGCAAACGAAAATAGAATATATCAATACAGAGGCAACGATTACAGATCCTTTGACTAAGGGACTCACTCCAAAAATCTTTAAAATACATGTTGCTAATATGGACATTATGTAAACCTTTGATGTTTCAATTAGTGTGAGTTAATATATATGTAAAAGAACTACTTTTAGCTTGATCATTTTACAGGCTACGTAAGCAACCCATATATTTTTCAAGTACAGTCCCTCTTTTATATTTTCCCTTATTTATGAATTATTTTGAGCATACATTTGACTTGTGTTTTTTATTATGATGTTATTATAATATCGACATATGACATATAAATACATAAGATTTGTTTATTTTAGAGACATGTGGCTTCATTTTGATCTGAAGCATTATGAGTATTGATATGAATTAGCACAGTTTTTTATCACATTTTATGTTAAGTTCACACCACATTGGTTGGAGGATGTGGATCTATGTCGATAAGGATGTTAGCATTTGTAGTTATGGAATTGTCTTACATCACTTAATTTACATGATTTTCATGTTTGGTGTTAACATTCTTGTTGGACCGAATTATGTTGTGTAAAGTGTCACGATTGAAACTATACTTTTGTGGTCACCTATGTAATTTAATCCGAATGTTAAAATTTTTGTTATAGTAATCAAATATTTGTCCAAGTAAGAGAATATTAAAATAATTTTGAATATGGGCTTTCCATTTGATTGTAAATTTTACGGGTTAGATATACGACTCATAATGATATTGTTATTGTGTCAAATTTGTTAAGTGATCAACTGTGTCGTTTTATACATTAGGAGTTATATTTAATGTGATGTGATAATTTAAAGTAAGTGGACAACAGATATATGTAAATTTTAATTAGAATTTAAATCGTAACGAGACGCCCGATATGGAAATCTACCTGCTATTATTTGACTATTGTTCCTAGCATGATTTGGTTAAATTCAATAATGAACTCTACACAAACAATCCCTCTTACCATAAGTTGGTTTCAAGCGGAGGATTTTTCGTTAACTTTGTGAAATTGAAGAAAAGTTTCAAATCCGTCAGACTTTGAGTTGAAGCTGCTGCTTTTAGTTTTCAATTATTTTTGGGAAATAAAGCTTTGATTTTTCATTTGATAAAAGTGTTTTTGGAAAGAGGTTTGAACCTGCATTTGACTCATGCAGTTTTTATTTTTTGCTTATTGGAATTCTTTTTTTGGTTTTTTTTGAGCAAGTCAGACTTTGATTTTAAACAACTTGTGTGATTTTGGGGAAGATCGGTGTTTATTTATATAGAAAGAAAAGCAATTTTTATTGGTAATTGAGTTGTTTGTCCGGCTTAAAAAATTGAGATCTAGCTCGGATTTCACAGCATGTATTTTTTCGAATTCCTCAGGTAAATTTACGATTTTTTAACTTTTCTGTACTCTTTATACGTATTTATGCTCTCACGTATGTTTGTTTATTCCTGAAGCAACTACGTATAAAGCTGATTTTTGGTTTTTTGGATCTGGACACTATATATGTTTTGTGTTCTTTCACGTTTAATAGATATGCGTGCCCCAAAAAGAAATGAAAATTGTATGCATGTGCTTGCTGTTAACTGTAACTATATAAGAAAGTTGAGCATTTCTTAAATTGATTGACCGAATAATTATAAAGTTGTGTTTTTCCCTGTATGGCACGGACAATTTGCTGTGTGAGAGCTAATTTTCTGTTTATTGGATGAAGTTCAGAGATCAGATTTCAAAACACTGAAGTCAGATCTGCCGGGAATTTAGACGCTAACTGGTATTTGAGTCTCTGAACAAATGGGGTTTGACTTGGGAAGTATGCTACAAAAGATGAACATCTTATCGAATACTGACAACACTTCAGTGATTGCCATCAACTTATTTGTTACACTCCTTTGTGCATGTATTGTAATCGGTCACCTTTTGGAGGGAAATCGCTGGATGAATGAATCCATCACGCCCCTTATAATCGTAAGTATGTACGAATGCATATGGGTACAAATTAGTGGAGTTGAGTGTTCACATTATTCATGCGTGTTTCTGTGTACTTACGTAATTGTTTGTGATTTAAATGACAGGGTGTATGCACTGGAGTAGTGATTCTACTAATAAGTGGAGGAAAAAAATCACGTCTTTTGATTTTCAGCGAAGATCTTTTCTTCATTTATCTTCTTCCACCAATCATATTTAATGCGGGGTATGTCAGGCTTTTCAAAATACAATCTGAGTTTTTTGTTTTTACTTTTTCTTTAGATATTATGTTCAAATTCTTTTGCAGTGCAAGACATCCAGGAATTCATTCTTAGATGCGGCAAAATACTTGATTTCACTTCTTTTATTCTCGAAATTCAGTTTCGCTGCAAAATTGTGCATTGTGTGATTTTCAGTAGAAATTGAGAGTTAGCTTAAGAGGTGAAAATTTCAACTGCAGTATGGAAAATGACTAGTTATTGTATTGTAGTAACCATAAAACTATGAAGGAAAGACATTCAGGAAAAAAAAAAGTCTCACAAACTATACCTACGTACTAACCACATTTCTTGCATGCTACTCAATTTAACAAATAGAAGAGTGTTTAAATTTTTAAGTGGTCTGGGTGCAACAGTAGCTAGCGATCTATACTTTCTAATCTTTCTTCTTTTGGTTGAATTTAAGAAATTATGAAGTAAATTCAAGACAAAGAATGAAAATTTTGAAGAGACTAATACTCATATTACGATTTGCACTGTTGTCCCTCTGCAAATGTTGTAACTCAGAACATTTTACAATAAGCTTTTACTATGTTTTTATACAATGAGTAGGAGTATTCCTAATTTGGTTACCCTTTTGTTACTTCAAACAGTAATGCTAACCTTCGTGAGCCCTGGTAGACCTTCTGAATAGGGAGTATGTTAATTTAATAATATAGAATGATTGCCTCCTATGTTAGTAATTTGTAATGGTTTGCCCGGGTTATATTCATTACTAATCTCTTGACTTACACTATTCATCAGGTTCCAGGTCAAAAAGAAACAATTCTTTCGCAATTTCTCAACTATAATGCTGTTTGGAGCTCTTGGTACTTTGATATCATTCGTCGTTATATCATTGGGTATGCATATTTTACCTGTTCTTGTATATCTAGTCTAAACAAAATCTGTTATATCAGTAAGGAAGCATTAATGCCTCCTTTTCTCTTTCAGATCTTTATGGAATGAGCTAAAAAATAAATAAATAAATAAATTCATCTTAGCCAGCTGATGCAAACTTTTTATTGAGTATTGATCCTACTTTTTCTAATTTTTCACATCTAAGAAGTTGTCTACTTTAATTATTGTTGACCACCTCATTTGTAAGCTTAAGCTGTTAGAGAGGAGGAGCATGTATATATTTAAATTTGGTCATCAACAAACTTCCTTGCAGTTAGACTAATTTTTCATTGAAGACATGTTATGATTCCGGCAGGAAATATCTTTTGTGTGGCTCGACCATGTTAACCTACAAACCTATATTCTTTACATATGGGCTTTGATATGCTATGCTTTTTCTTGTCATCAAACCCTTTTTTGTCTCAATCATAGGGAAAAACAGATTGCAGGAAAGGCTTACTGTTGCTTCGATGTACATCTAAGTGTTTTAGTTGCAATTGACCTTCAGTTCATCTTGTAGACCCTAATTATAGCATCTAAATAGCCTGTTTCCCAAAATCTAGTTAAGCTATCCTTTTCTTTTGGATTTTGGAGAGAGAAGGGCCGATGCATGAACATTTGTATATTTATCCCTTGCTCGTCTCGAACGACACTGATTTTGCAGATCAGAAGGGAAATTTGGAAAAGGGAAAGAATTAAAGGGGAAAAAAAATAAAAGAAAGAAAGGAAGGAAGAAAGAAGAGAATAATTGTCTTTTTAGATTCTTTTTTGAGTTCTAAATATTTCTATATACCTATTTATCATTCATTTCATCTGTTAGGACATAAATGATTGTGCCGTTGCCTACATCTTCAAAACTTTGTGACAGGTGCTATTGGTCTTCTCCGGCCACTGGATATTGATCTGGCAATTGGAGATTATCTTGGTACCCTCTTCCCCCCTCCCCCCCCCCCTCTCTCTCTCTCTCTCTCTCTCTCTCTCTCTCTCTCTTATTGTATCCTAACATTTTTGTCTTTGTTCCTAATCGAACTCACCTGTCTTCAGCACTTGGAGCAATTTTTGCTGCAACAGATTCAGTTTGCACCTTGCAGGTAAATTTTGCAACATTATGCTGTTGAAATCATAACTGAAAATCTTGCTTCACTGCCTGATGCATTATATCTGATGTTACAGGTGCTAAATCAGGACGAGACACCTTTACTGTATAGTCTAGTCTTTGGGGAAGGAGTTGTAAATGATGCGACATCGGTGGTTCTCTTCAATGCAGTACAGAACTTTGACCTGACTCATACAAACACAACTATAGCTTTGGAGCTAGTTGGGAATTTTTTGTATTTGTTCATCACAAGCACCATATTGGGAGTTTTTGTGAGTATTAATTCAT